CCAGCCACAGGCCCATTCATCTGCTCATAGAATTTCCTTTCTGCATCGTCATACTTGAACTTGTCGAACCAGATCTTCTCATGGACTAAGAAGTTTGTAGCCATTTTTCTGCTGGGATGGGGAGGAGAGGCTAAGTCAGCACTGCTTGGAGGAGAGAGCTCAAGATAGCCCCTGACCTCACCCTTCTCCAGAGCCTCTTGGAATAGCCCAGAATAAGCAGAGTATACTATGACACCTGACCCCAGTCCCAGATTCCAGCTCTGGGCCATCCCAGTCCTGGATGACAAAGGCTCCAGGCCCCAGGGGAGAACTCAAGTGGTCTCAATATGAAGACTCTGAGCCTGTACAGACCCCACCCACAGCACTCCCAGCGTGGCCCCATCCATGCTGGGGCAGGGTCCCGAGGCCTGCCCTCTAGATCAATGGCTCTCAGAGTGTGGCCCAAGAACCTCTGGGGGTCCCCAAGGTCCCATTTTCAAACACATTAAGTTGGATTTATATCAGTCAAGAAACATATACCAACAGCTTGAGTGCAGAAGCAAGTATGAGAATCCAGCTGTCTCCAACTAAGCCAGAAACTGCAGATCTGTAAAAGTAAAGCTAAGCCACTCTGCTCACTGTTTCTTTTTTTTTTGGAGACAGGGTCTTGCTGTCACCCAGGCTGGAGTGCAGTTGCGTCATCATAGCTCACTGCAGCCTCAAACTCGTGGGCTCAAGCGATCCTCCTGCCTCAGCCTCTAGAGTAGTTGGGACTATAGGCATGCACCATCACACCCTGCTGATTTTCTTCTTCTTCTTTTTTTTTTTTTTTGACAGAGACAGGGTCTCCCTATGTTGCTCAGGCTGGTCTTGGACTCCTGGCTTCCCAAAGCGATCCTCCTAAAAGTGCTGGGATTATAGACATGAGCCACAGTGCCCAGCTGAATTTTTTGGTATGGGAAAAGTATTTTTCATAAAAACATGTTATTAACATGTAACAAGCTTACTACTCTTCAACAAGTAAGTACTTTCAGCATTTCTCAGCCTGTTAATGTGATTTAAAAAAAAAAAAAACCACCAATAGATATAATGAATGCTCTTTGGAGTCCCAACATCAAAAAGCTTGAGACCCGCTGCTCTAGACCGGGGACTACGGCCCATGGGCCAAATCCATCCACCATGTTTTTGCTAATCATGTTTCACTGGCACCACCGCAGCTACCACTGCTGCACCACACACCCACTGCCTAGCAGAGCAGAGGAACTGGGCAGATTCCAAACTACCTCCTGCCTCAAACAGCCAAGCCCCTCTTGCCACCCCACCGAGTATGACAGCAACGCCCTGATCCCAATCCCACTCTACTGCCAATTTCTGTGCTGAGTCCCCTGGGGCCATCACTGGCCTCACCAAGTGTCCCCTAAGCACAGTGACCCCACCCCACTTACCCCTCACCCAGGAGGCTCCTGGTGAGGAGCCAGGGCACGATATACACTGAAGCAAGTCAGGGTAGGAGGTGACCATGGGGTCCCATCCCACCCCACCCCACCCCTCCCTAGAAGTCTGGGGACCAAGGTTGGCACTGCTTTGGACCCTTGGCTAGGACCCTCCAAGTCCTTTCCTGACCCAGCCTGTCCCATCCCTAGGACTCCCCTCCCCAGCAGGGAACAGTGGCCTGGCACCACCTCTTTGCCCTCTGTCTTCCCTTCTGCATCCAGCCACCCTGCCCACAGCTGACAGGGGAGCCCTTCTCATGGCCAGGCACTGTTCCCCCAGCTCTTCCCCAGGCCCCTGGCCTCCAGGGACCACTGCTGGGGCTGCACTCACCCACAGAGGAGCAGCAGATCAGACAAACTAGGCATCCCTTATACAGAGGCCACCTGCCCAGCCATGTGCTCTTGTATCTAGGAGATGCCCATCTCCCCTCAGAGGTGGTTAAAAATGACAAGGGAAGCCGGGGGATGGACAGGAGGCACAGACATGGACACACTGTCTCCCATGCCTCATCCCCAGGAGAGCACAGGGGCCAGAAACCCAGCTTCAACACTCCCGCCCTGCCCTGTGAGTAACCTCATCTTCTCAGCCCTGGTGTGTGATGGCTAGAGGGGATATGGGGAATTGCCTAGCCAAAGGGAGAATGTTGCATGGGGCAGATTCTTCCCTGTGCTGTCCCATTCTCTGTCCCCACGCTGACAGCCCAGAATTTTGTAACCCTCACGGGGTAACCCTGGAAGCCACACTGCCCCAAGGACACAGCACTACCCTTGCTCAACCCGAGCTTGCATTCAACTTAGCCGGGTCCAGAGGTCTTGGGGAAAGCAGCCAACCAGGGCAGGGCAGGCCAGGGGAGCACAAGAAGCCCCAGCCTGGGACAGCTGACCCTGGGCCCATAGCCCAGGCCAGGCCGAGCACCTGCCCAGCACGTTTCTCCTACTTGGGTCTTAAGCTGGATATGGACGGGCCAGACCGGGGACCAGGCCGGTGAGCCAGGGAGGCAGCTTCAAGGCGCCAGGCCATGCGCAGGGCCTCTGCAGTGTGGTGGCGGCACTCGGCACTGTCATAGGTGGGCTTGCTGAGCCAGGGGGCCTCCGCATCCTTGTGCAGGAAGTACCAGCAGGGAAAAACAGAGGGGGCCTCCCCGTCGACCCGCCGTGGCCCAGCACGCTTGCTCCCCATGGCGTTGCGGCCTCGCCGGTCTTTGCGGCCTCGCCGGGAGCCCTCAGCCTGGCCAGCTCGCTCCTGCAGGCGCACCTTCCCAGGGGGATGGCCATCAAACAAGGCCTCATAGAAGCCCCTCTCAGCTGCGTCGTACCGGGGCTTCTCCAGCCACACCTCCCGAACCAGTGCCTGCAGGCTGCCTAGTGGGGGCTGGCCATTGGCTGGTGGGTTGGGCTGGCAGGCCACGTAAGGGTTGGCTGCCCACTGGCCTGTGTCAGGAGCCCCCTGCCTGCAGCTCTCCTCAGTGGCAAGTAGCAGGGCCTGAGACCACTCCACAAAAGCCCGCTCAGCCTGGTCAAAGGAAGACTTGTTGACCCAGATCCCCCAGGTCACGTGGTGGCAGGCCACCTGGTTGCCATGGGTGCAGGGACCCCATGGGGCTGGGGCAGATGGCTGGGTTGCCTGCACTGCTGCGTCTGCCAGCCTCTGGCGATACGAGCTCTCTGCTTGGTCGAAAAGTGACTTGTCCAGCCACACATGGTCAGCGGACAGGCCCACAAGGGCCAGGTCTGCCTGGCCGAGCCAGCTCTTCGGGGAGCGCTTCCGCTTCTTCTGCAGGGGCTTCCTGCCATTGTGGCTCCTTCCAGGATCACTCCTGCAGCTGGTGTCAGGGGCCTCTGCCTCATCGCCATCCTTGGTGTCCTCCTGGCTGGGCCCATTCACAGCTGGCACCTCAGCCAGTAGCAGCTGGGCAGAGGCGGCGGCTTGCGTGGCCTTGTGCTCGTAGAAGCGCCGCTCAGCTTCCTCATACTTGTGCTTGTCCTCCCACACGGTCTCCAGGGCACAAGAGGCCTTCCCGCTCCTCATCTTCCAGGCACAGCATTAAAAAGCAAGCACAAGAAGGCAGTTGCAACACAGTGGAATATACAGTAGCGGCTCTCTCAAGGCACCCGCTTTCCCCAAGCCCTCCCTCCTAGGGGAAGGAAGTGAGCATTGGGGATGTTTCCTAGGGGGTCCATGAGATCACATTCAAGGACTCAACAGTCAAATCCAAGCGGGGAACTTGTTTTGTAAAGCAAAAAATAATATACATATATATGTGCATGTTTGTATATATTTTAACTACAAAACTTGACTTCACTTATGTGACATGCCTCATAGCTCTCCAAAAGGAGTCTAGGGAATGTTATTTTCAAGCCCCTCTGGACACAGAAATCTTTTCTTACAGAACCTCCAAGTTGCCAGATAAAATACAAACAGGATGTTCTCGGTTAATTTGACTTTAATCCTGTGTTTCTGTGTAGGTTAAGCCCAGCCATGTCCCAGAGGCAGCTGCCCCCGAGAATGGGCAGCCTTATTGTGTATCCTGCCTGTGCCTGCCACACTGCTGCCCTCCAGAGCAGTGTGCTTCTCCTGTGCAGCTGCAGGTCTTAGAAAAGGGGCAGCCTCTTTGTAGGTGTGACTGTCCTTGCCAGGGAGGGGCCAGGCAGCCAGGGCAGGCAGGATTGCCCACTCTGTACTCCGGCAGGGTCACAGCAACATGAGATACCAAGGATGATGCTGTGGCCAACAGAGAAGGGAAGCAGCAAGCAGTGGCCAGCTCCAGGCTCCTCCCCACAATGGAGTCCACCAAACTAAAGGGGTGCCAAGGAATCTCAGGGTCCCAGCACAGCAGTGGCAGGCTATGGGGCTCTTCTCCCATGGGGACATTAGCTGACTGCCACAGGACTCCCCCTCCCAGCCATACCCAACTCTGGGTCATGCCCCCAAGGCAGAAAGGGTCCGGGTCTAACCAACACCTAGGAGCTACCTCGAGAGAGGGCTGCACAGCTGTCCCTTACAGATACCTCTGCCATCCTGCTGCTTCTGTGAGCTTGTCTGGTAGAGCCTAAGGGAGCATGGACCAGCCAAGCCTCTACCAAGAGGGAGGGCAGCCTTTGGGCTGGACAGCAAACCCTTCCCTGACACCCCCCTCCAACAAAACCAAAGCCTGTTCCAATGACCCCAGTTGGATCTTTCGCTGTCTAAATCCCACACAGGCAGAGAGAACTTCTGGGAAGGCCTCTGCATTGTACTTCAAAATCCAGTTTCTAAGTGGAGTGCTGAGGCTCTTGAACAGCATGCTGCCAGAATCCTACACCCATCCCAGGAGGGCATTCTAACTGGACCAGTGAGGAGTTGGGTCAGGGTGCCACAGGGGCCCTGGGTGGAGAGGTCCCTGGGTTGCCCCTTCACTTCTCCTCCCCAGGCTGAGGCAGCACTTACCAAGGCCAGGCTGACAGACAGAGGCTGGGTCAGGGTGGGAGGTGGCAGAGGAGCCAGCAGGCAGGGCATTGTGACATCACCCACTGTCACTGAGGGGCAGTGGGCCAACCTGGAGTCACAGGCCAACCTGGCAGGGCCTGTCTACCCTCTCCTCTCTGGCCACCAAGCCCTCCAGTTCCTGTGGAGCAGCACAGGTTTGGGCTAGCTCCAGTCCCTGAGGCAGTGCTCACTAAGCTGACCCTCAGTGGCAACACCTTGCCAGGCCTTACTGGCTTAAGTGACCTTAGACCAGGCTCCTGGAGCTCTCCCAGTGGGGGCAGGAGCTTCAGCTTAGGAAGGGGAAGCCAATTCCAAAGAGCACACAGGGTGCCCCCATGCTGCTTCCCCTCCTGTCCCCCCACAAACCCTGTTCCTTTGCAAGACGGATGAGGACACTACAGCCTTGCCTGGCAGATTGAGCCCTGCACAGGTGGTGGTGGGGTGCCCTCAGCAGTGAGGGCTGTGGAGGGAAGGGGCTCCCCAGATCATGTGATGGGAAACAAAGCACTGGGACAGGTGGGTACTCACTTTTGTTCTGACCTCCTAGGACAGCATGAAGGAAAAGCAGCAAGGTTAGAGGCAGTCAGAAAGGCTAACCACGTCAGACACATCAGTCGGGCAGCCCAAGCAAGCCGGAGGGCCTTTTCAGAAGCTGCTTTGTCGAGGTGGCGTGGAGGTGAGTGGTGAGATGGAAGGTGAGCACCAGACAGACCCACCACCACAAGCCCAGGTGGCGGCTGAATCCACTTGCTCGAAGCAGCGCTGCTCGGTCATCCCTTGAAAGGGTAGCTTTTGGGGCCATTAGCTGAAGCCAAGGCAGGCCCTGGGGGACAAGCAGGGACCACCATCTGAATCACCTTCAAATGAGCCCAAGGCAACCTCGGACAGGGCGAGCGAGTACCTGCAGGTGCCCCTGAAGCTGCTGAGGGATCCCCAGCCCCTTCCCTGTGCTGCCGCTGGGTCCAGTCTGCTGGAGGAGGGCTGGAAGACAACAGAGACTCTCCAAGTGGGGGTCAGCCCAGCCCCAGCCAGCCCTGAGGGGAGTGCTTTGCTGACACCAAGACCCAAGGCCTCCACTGGGACAGGACCTCTCACTCAGCAGGGGCCACTGTCAGGCAGGGCTGCCAGCTGAGGGCCCTAGCACAAGCCTGACAAAAGGCTCTCAAGGGACACAAAAGCACCAGACTTGCTCTCCTCAGTGTGCACAAAGGGTTGAGACCGTCACCCATTTACACCTGGGCTGGAGATCCTGCCCCCAATCACAGAAGAGCCACCTCATGACCCCAGCAAGCTATGGAGAGGCCAGCTGGGTGCAGGTGACAGGACCCAGCCACCCACCGCTGCCCTGGTAGGACTAGGCAGGAGGGGCCACCCCCTGCCATTGAACTTCGAGAGAGCCCTAGGGATCCGTCTTCTTTCTCCAATGGGAGCCCTGCCCGCTTATGCAGGGCTGGGTGGAAACAAAAATGCTGAGAAAATGGGGAGGCAGGTGCCCCATGGGAGCAGCAAGAGACCCTGTGCTGTGCCCTCCAGGGAGGAGGCTCTCAGGAGACACCAGCAAGCCACGATGGGGGACCCCATGACAGGTAGCCATGCCTGTCACCTGGAAGGCTGGCCAGCAGAGAGCCTCCCAGGACAGGCAGCACAGCCCCAACACCCCTGAGCATGCACATGTGCTAGGAGGACCTGCTGCACTGACAGCACCACCTCTGCCAATGAAGAGCAAGTTCGAGTTTAAGCACTTCCTTGAGGATACACACACACAAAATCCTACAGCTCTCCAGTAAAAATGGCCCAGAAGTGTGAAGCAATGACTCTTCCCACAAATGGTCAGCCCCTTTTCTCTTGCAGTTTACCTGGCAGCAGCAGGAGCTTGCTGAAAAGAGAATGCAGCACAGGGAAGAAAGCCAACTGCCAGAGAAGCAGTCTCACAAACACCAGAGCGAAGACCCAGGGGAAAACAACCTGAGTCCCTTGCTCTGCTCCTGGAACAAGCTGGACTCCAGGCTGCAGGGCCTACCACCAAAACCAGCTCCCCTCTCTCAAGCCCTCCAAGAGCTCTTTCCTGAGAGGCAGACAGTGCCCAGAGCACTCAAGCCTCCATTAGCAGCCCAGGGTTCAAGGGCACTGTGAGGACCAAGCTCTGGGAGGTACTTGTGGCTACCAGGACCCATGGAGCAGGCTGCTGACATGGCTCTGGCACAGGTGGACCCCAGCAGGACTCGGTGAGCAAACCCCTGGCCCTCCACAGCAAGGACGCAGGCAGGTGCTCCAACGTACATGCCAAGGGGTATGGGGGTGCACAAGCCTGACAGCCTATGCTGACCCATGAGGGCATTTCTTCCAGAGCCAACACAAGACCTGGTAGCAGTCCCTGCCCAGGACACTCCTGGCTAGAAGACTTGAGCAAGTTCAAGTTGCAAATTCGGAGGCTCTCTGGGAGGAGTTGGCTCCCCAGGCCCTGCCCTCCACGCTACCTTGCATCCTCTGGATGCCACCTCAGGTAGTCTGTGCCCAGGTCACCCAATCACAGACACATAGTTGGGCACCCAGATTGTCTACCCTCCACAGGGAGAAGTTGGTGGTGCAGGGGTGGGGTCTGCTGGTGGGCCCAGCCTGTGCATCAGACTCCAACCCGCAGCACCTCTCTCAGGGCTCACCTGGCCCAGTCTGTGGACCAGTGCTTCCCCACACAACTTTCTGCATTTTCAGTGCCCAAAAGGACAGTGACTAGCACTTGAAATGTGGACAGAGTGCCTGAGAAAGTGGCTTTTTTAGTCAATCACACAGTGGGGCAGCTGCACAGGACAGAACAGTGTATATGCACATGGGAGGGATGCCTTTGGTCCTTTTTTTGTGGGGAGGGGAACTCCAAGACCTCAAATTCCCACTCAGCCACTTTTCTGTGCCTGACTCCTGGGTATTCATTCCGGCCTTACTCAAAAATGCCAGCCTGTCCTACGGCAAGAGGTGGGCCCTGCACACTGAGACCCAGAAGGTTGACATTAGCTGCCCAAGCCACCCCATGCCAGGCTTAGCCAGGCCCCAAAATGTCCTTGCCTCAAATGCCATTGAATGTCAGTTCTATTTCCACCCAGCTCATGGTGCCCTGGCCCCCACCTGCCCAGCCACAGTGCTCCCTGGGCCATTCCAGCCCCTATGACACACCTCACACACACCTGGACCAGGAGAGTGACATTTTACACAGCAAGGAACTAAGGCTCCGAGTGCTCACAGCTGCTGAGTCAAGAAGATGAAGAGCTGGGGACCCATGGCATGCTTCTACCCCAGAATTTGGTGCAAATGTCTCACTGCCATCGGCTTCCAACACTTATATGCCATCATAAAACACTGGCACAGGAGGATGGCCTTCCCATACTCAATGCCAACATTTCCTGCACTCAGCCCTCAAAAAGCTAATGAAAAAGTGCATGGCACACAGGGGTACACTTTTTGTCTGTCATCAAGCAGGTTTGCCAACCATGCTAAACCCTGCAGCCTCATCCAGCTCCCCAGGAGTGAAGCTCAGAGGGCTGGCTCATTCCTCAGAGGGCAGGAAGCCATCCTATGCTCGACACATGATGGGGAGCAGCAGCAGCATTGGCCCACTCCAATTAAGAAAACAGAGGCACACATTGAACTGGCCACTGTACAACCTGGAAGGGCACTGGCCCTCTTTTTGCCTCCTGGTAGATGCTGGGCAATGCTGCCCAGCTGGACTGGCTTAGGGCCCAGAAGGCCTTTGCAAGAACAGGTCTGAGAGCCTGGCTGGGCCTGAGAATTTGTGTGCCAGACACTTGGTGAAAAGGCATTTTCTCAGGGGACACCCAGGGCTCTTTTCACTTCTGTCCTTTACACTGCACCCCCCCACCCTAGCACAAGGCTGGGCACACAGAGGGGCTCAGTAAATGGCCAACTGCATTTGAGCTCTGGAGGGCTCATGCAGTCCAGAGCAGGGGGGTGGTCAAAACTGCAGAAGCCTCCCTAGATGACATGACCCACCTTGCCTTCCTCAGAGGTGAGTTACAGTGTCAATTTAAGAAGCACCTCTCACTATCAGGAACCACCAAAGGTTGAGCTACACCAATTTGCAAGAGCCCTTCCTTCTAGAAACCAATCCTGATGTCCTACGGGTCTCCACCCCACTCCACCCGCTTTGCCTTCTTCCTTCCACTTACAACCTCTGAAAGTGCTCATTTCTAAGGAATAGCACCACGGTCCCCTTCAGAGACTGCTGGGACCACCTCATCCAAATCAGGAGACTCCTGCTCCTTCTGAACTACTGAGCACAATACATCCTTAGTCTTTCCTGTGTTCACCAGCCAAGTTCCACGAGGACTGCGTCCATGCCTGTCCCCTCTATGTCCAGTAGGTGATCACTAAACACGTGCTGGACAAATGCAAGGGCTACAAGCCCGAGCAGCAGCTGGCGCTGATATCGTCAGTCACCCACAGAAACGGTTGGCAACAAGGCCCCAGGCCCTGGCAGCAGGCTTCCACCACTCAGATGGCCGAGCGGTCGCACGCAGAACGGTAGAAGGCTAGGCCGTGTCCTGGACAGCCCCGTCGTCTGAGGGCCTGAGTGCATGCCAAGCCAGGGGGTCCTGAAGCCCCGGACCGCAGATGCCCTCCGGGCCGGCCACGTGGCCTCCGCCGCCCCGCCCCTCTGCGCTGGTTCTGAAAGCCGCACTTGGCGCACGGCCCCTGAGCCGGCACGCTGGCGCACTTGCGCCTCGATCCCTAACGGCGCGAGCCTCTGGCGCCGCCTGGGCCGCCCGCCCTCCCGGCCCCTCGGGCCACTTCAGTGAGTGAGGCTCCTTCCGGCAGGGGCCGCGGTACTCACACGCCAGCCAAGGACGCGGCGACCAAAGAAGGGAGACCGGCAGCACACGGCGGCTGAGGAAAGGAGGGGCCGCTCAGGCCGCGCACGGGAAATGAAGCTCTGGGCGCTACCAAGCGCCACGGGCCAGGGTCGCGGGGGGACGCGGCCCTTGCGCACGCTCTGGCACACCGTCGAGGCCCTTGGCGCGACGAACATCGTAACTTCAAAGACAGAAACCAGTGCGAGACGGCCACGGAGGTCGGTCTTTCCAGGGGAGTCGGTACAAAGTGCTGGAAACACTCCTGCAGCCCGCCCGAACCCCCCGCGGCGTGTCTAATCGAGTCGCCCGGCCTGGGCGGGGCTTGCCAGCGTGCTGGCGTCACGGCGGGGCGTGGCCGAGCGGGGGTCAGCGCGCCTGCGCCCGCCGAGCGGGCGAGACAAAGGGGTGGGTCCCGCGCGGCCCCGCCCCCAACCGCCCCGCCCCGAGCGGCCGGGCGTGTGGCTCCCGCGTCGCCCGGTCCCCGTCGCTGCCGTCGTAGCCAACATGTACCCCGTTGGTCCTCCGGCTGGCCCAGTCCCACGCCGTGGCCGCCGTCCCCCGCCCGGGCGTCCCGCGGAGCCGCCGCGGCCCCCCGCGCCCGCCCCGGGCCCTGCCGCACGGCCGCCTTCCTCAGCCCCCGGGCCTCGGCCGCGCGTGGCGGTGAAGATGGCCTTCCGCAAGGCCTACTCTATCAAGGACAAGCTGCAGGCCATCGAGCGCGTTAAGGGTGGCGAGCGGCAGGCCAGCGTGTGCCGCGACTTCGGCGTGCCTGGCGGCACTCTGCGCGGCTGGCTCAAGGACGAGCCCAAGCTGCGCTGGTTCCTCGACCAGCTGGGCGGCGAGGTGGGCACGCAACGCAAGAAGATGCGGCTGGCCAACGAGGAGGAGATCGACCGCGCCGTGTACTCGTGGTTCCTCACGCTGCGCCAGCACGGCGTGCCACTGTCGGGGCCCATCATCCAGGCGCAGGCCGAGGCCTTCGCGCGCCAAATATACGGGCCCGAGTGCACTTTTAAGGCCAGCCACGGCTGGTTCTGGCGCTGGCAGAAGCGCCACGGCATCTCCAGCCAGCGCTTCTACGGCGAGGCCCGGCCCCCGGCCCCGGGCCCCGCGCCACGCCCGCCCGTCAAGGAGGAGCCCGCGCTGCCCCCTGGCGCCGGCTCTCTGCCCGACCGGGCCCCGGCCGCGCCGCCCCCCGCTGAAGGCGGCTACGGCGACGAACAGATCTACAACGCCAACGTCACGGGCCTCTACTGGAAGCTGCTTCCGGAGCAGGCTGCGGCCCTGGGCGCAGGGGACCCCGGGACAGGGGGCTGCGGCCGGCGCTGGCGGGGAGACCGGGTGACGGTGCTGCTGGCGGCCAACCTGACGGGCAGCCACAAGCTGAAACCGCTGGTCATCGGGCAGCTGCCCGACCCGCCCAGCCTGCGCCACCACAACCAGGACAAGTTCCCGGCCTCCTACCGCTACAGCCCTGACGCCTGGCTCAGCCGCCCTCTGCTGCGGGGCTGGTTTTTCGAGGAATTTGTTCCGGGCGTCAAGCGTTACCTGCGCCGAAGCTGCCTGCAGCAGAAGGCCGTGCTGTTGGTCGCCCACCCACCCTGCCCAAGCCCTGCCACCAGGATGCCCGCCCTCGAGGAGAGCGAGGAGACCCCCCTGCGGTGCCGGCCTGAGCCCCTTGGGCCCCCAGAGGAGCTGCAGACACCTGATGGCGCTGTACGTGTGCTGTTCCTATCCAAGGGCAGCAGCCGGGCGCACATACCCGCACCGCTGGAGCAGGGCGTGGTGGCTGCCTTCAAACAGCTGTACAAGCGGGAGCTGCTGCGTCTGGCTGTGTCCTGTGCTAGCGGCTCTCCACTGGACTTCATGCGCAGCTTCATGCTCAAGGACATGCTCTATCTGGCCGGCCTTTCCTGGGACTTGGTGCAGGCGGGCAGCATCGAGCGCTGCTGGCTGCTGGGCTTGCGGGCCGCTTTTGAGTCCCGGCCTGCTGAGGAGGGTGCTGGGCAGCCAGCCTTCCAGGCCGAGGAGGCCGCTGAGCACAGCAGGGTGCTCAGCGACCTCACTCATCTGGCAGCTCTGGCCTACAAGTGCCTGGCACCCGAGGAGGTTGCAGAGTGGCTGCACCTGGACGATGATGGTCTGCCTGAGGGCTGCAGAGAGGAAGTGGGCCCTGCCCTGCCCCCTGCACTGGCCCTAGCAGCTCCCCCACCGCCTGCCAGCCTGCCCTCTGGCATGGGGGGTGCAGAGGAGGAGGAAGAGGCCACTGCATACGGAGGAGCCTCAGTGCCCACTGCTGGGGAGGCTGTCCGGGGGCTGGAGACAGCTCTGCGGTGGCTGGAGAGTCAGGACCCCAGGGAGGTGGGGCCACTGAGGCTGGTGCAGTTACGCTCACTAATCAGCATGGCCCGGAGGCTTGGGGGCATTGGGCACACCCCAGCAATCCCTGATGATGGTGTGTGACCAAGCTGGCCCCAGTGGCCTTACTGCACTTGGAGGGAGGGGACACGCACAGTCTCCCATTTCCCCTTTTTTCCTCCCTATGGGGTGCGCCACCCAGTGGGTACAAAAGGTTGTAGGGATCCAAGCCCAGTCTGGCTTGGAGGGCCTCTGTTGTCGACAGATCAGTCATCCTGCCTTACTGGGTCCCCCAGTCTGCTGGAGGGATAGCTGGAAGAGAGGCCCCTAGCTCACATTCCTGTCTGGGCAAGCACACATGCGAGGTCCCCTCGGCATGCCAGGCACACGAGGCACAGCACCTATCAGCAGTTGGCTGTGTCCTGCTCTGGCCCCTATGGGGCTGGGCCTCCCTCCCCTCACCACCTGTCACATGCACTGGACAAGGACCTGATACCCCTGTTTGTTTCGAGCCCTGGTGCTCCGTGGTTCTTCCACTACAGCTGTGGGATCATCTCAGTGGGGAAGCACACCACTTGGTTTTATTTTTTTTAACACAGTAAATCCATTTTTATAGATACTCTTTAGGGGAGACTATGAGAACAGGGGCAGGGGCAGGGTGGAGTGATCTATGGGCTGCCCCCTGCCATTGCTCTGTAGCCTGGAAGCCCAAATGGTGCATGTTTGGAGCCTGGGGCTGAAGGGAGGACAGAGCCCCAATACTCAGGGCTTCTCAAGGTTCTGGGTGTAGCAGGGAGTGTATTGTCCCCCTGTACTTTTTGTTTTCCTTAAGAAAATTCCATTCTAAACAGATAACCTTATTCCATGGGGTTGTTGAAAGTCTGTATTTGGGCCCTGATGACTTGACAAATGGCAGGGAAAACTCCCCTGATCCCCCATGGAGCACAGGCCACTTTATCCAGCCCCAGGGCCCGGAGCCACCTGGCTTGCCCCAAAACAGGCCCAGCACTGACGGCCATCCGGTGCAATCCACAGTGCCTTACAGTCGCCTTCCACCTGCTCCTCCTGCCCCCAGGGTCCCATGCAGGCTTTTCTGCCTTTCCTGGCACTGCCCAGCTTGGGGCTGAGCTGCTTCTGGGTGGCCCAGTTTGAAAGGGAGAAAAGGGTTCAAGTGACTGTCCAACTCTCGTAGTGTTTTGCTACTCTATCCAGTTCTAGGTTCAGAATCCCACAGGTGGTCTGGGACTGAGAGAGGCCGTGCCTCTCGGTCCTGGGGACTGCCATTGCAGGGATGTAGCTCCAGAGCCCTGTGAGGGGCAGGGGCCTCCAGGTGCTCTCCCCTTGTCCTCAATCACCCCAAATGTCCTCCCAGTGGTCTGAGCCTTGAAAACAGAGTTGGTGAGTGTAGGGGGCTTACACGCAGATGGTGTGTCTGGAAGGGAAGGGGTGTACACCAGCTTGATAGTGGGGCAGCTGGAGGGTGTGCCCCCAAAAAGCAGTTTCTGCACAAGTCCAAAAACAAACAGGTCCTTAGGATCACCCGGAATCCAAAAAAAGAAAACAAACAAACAAAAAAATGCATATCAAATCTGAGATTTGGAACTGGATTAAAGATATGGAAAATTTGTCAGCAACAGAATCAGAGGCTTATGTAGCCAGACTTGGTTCCTGCTGGGGCCCTCTGGCCACCTCTACTTCTAGCCTCCCTGAACCTGCAGATCTGTCTGGGGCTAGCCCTGGGTCTCTACAACCCAAGCTGGGGCTGGGCTTCAGGAATTCGTTTAGCCCCATGAGCGTCCCCAATGGTATAGGCACACAGCTGGTAGCAGCTGGCTTCCCTGTGCCAGGACTGCCTCCAGTCTCTGAGGTGAACCTAAGGGCTCACGCCTGGGCCTTGACGTCTGGGCGGCCTCTGATTGTCACCATCATTGCTGCTCCTTTGGTGAAGTTTTCATCTCCAAACTTCCTGTCAGTTTCAGCTCTTCCCTTGGCCTGGGCCCAGAGAGGTGTCATATGGGGGAAGGGGACAGAAGAGAAAGACCCAGTCTTCCTCTTCACCTGTCCCACCCCTCTCTCATCTGGGCATCAGGGGCCCAGGAGGTGGCTCTGGCCTGTTCCCCTGCCCTCAGATGGTCACTTTCCCATAAGGCAGATATAGGCTGGCCGGGTGCTAGGAGCTGCTTAAGAGTCCCATCAAGTGTGGGTCTGCCTGTGGGCATCAGCTGGGCTAGGAAACCCCTCCACCAAAAGGCTCAAAAGGTCTTCTCTGAAGTGCTTGTGTGTACTACAGGGCAGAGGTTCAATCCCCCAGCCCTGCTTGTGAGGAGGCTGCTCTGCCTGGCCCTTTGGGCAGCCCCTGCAAGTCCCCAGGGCCTGAAGCCATGCACAGATGGCAGGTGAGAACCTGGGGCCCTGCCCTGCCATCAGCTTATAGTCACCCACCTCTTTGGGCTCTGCTCAGTGTCTGTGAAGTGACCCCAGTGGGGGAGGGGGAGCCCCTTGGAAGGGCCATGTGCTCTCACAGGGCTGCATCTCTTCCTCACACCCCCAGGCCTTTGCTGTTACTTGCTGAGCACTGGGGGCATTTATTTGAGTTTGCCACCCTGGTTTGTGATAACATTCAAGCAAGCTGGTTGAAGCTGCATTTCCTTTCAACAGCTATTGGCTGCCTGGCCTGGAGGGTCTTGCCTGATCCCTGCAGCCCTCAGGACCCCTGTGGCCTGGGAGGTGCAGACAGCCCTCCTGGCTCAGACAACTTTATAGAGGCCACCAGCCCCCACCTCCACTCATGTTCACAGCTCTGTGACCAGGCTCAAGGAAGGTCACAGTTCTTCAGGTTGGCGGTCTCTGTGTCAGGTTGATTGTCAGAGCTCCTTGGCTTAGGGGAAGGCCAGCAAGGTGAAAGTGTGAAGAACGGAAAGATGAGTGAATGTGGGCTTTGTTGAAACCACCACTGGCCATGTGTGCTTGGGAAGTGACTGCCTGGACATCACCTGGGCTGTGAATGAAACATCAGAGCACAGGGCAGAGGGGACCCCCCCCCCAAGCTGGGGGCTGGCTCCACAGGGACCCCCAGCCCCTTTTATTATCTATTTAGGATTGGGATTGCCCATGGGGAGCCCAGTGGGGCCTGGGCATTGTATGCCCCATTTGCCCCCTGGCTGAGTGTGCCCAAGGGTGAGGCTTGACCCCAGTGGCTTCTTGAGAGCAGACTTTGGGTTTCCGGGGTTCATGCTATATTGAGGGGCCCTTCTAACACCTAACCTTGCTTACAGCTGAGTTCAGCTGGCCAGATGGGCCTGATAACACTTTATATAATAAAGGTTGAACATGTCAACTTCATGAGTACCTGTTTTTGTTTTCATTTTCTTGCAAGCACCCCTGTTTTAAAGTCTTATTTTGTGGCTCTTGATCCAATGCTTGGAGCATCCCATAGGGTATCTCCATAGGATACATGAAAGAGTTAGAGGTAGGAGACATAGTGGAACAACATTGATTATAGAAGGTACCATAAGCACACATCGGTTTCTATCTTGAAAAATAGTCTTGCCTGGCAGTATAAGGCAGAGGCCTGGCTGACCCACAATCATGACCCTGCCCTCACCATAAAAAACTGCACCTCTTGAATAAATGTGTCCTTGCCACAGGCCATCACCACCTGGGCCTGGGGCTCCACCAAAGCTCCTTGTTCACGGAATGGCCTGCTTGAGGGCAGGACTGGATGATGTGTCTTCTGCCTCCCAAGCTGAGCCCACCCTGGCCCCTAGGAAGACAGATGGTGGCTCAAATTCAGCAGTGATTTCTCCTTGCAGACGGGCTTTGTCAGTGTGAAAGCAGGTGGCTCCTGGCAGGGCTGCCCAAGGAGTTCCCTCACAGAGCAGCCTGCACCAGACCCTGGGCTTCCAAACCTGCTCAGGCTTGGCACACAGGCCCCTGGAGGGCTGGTAAGGGTGCAGGGGAAGCTGGCAATTCTGTACCCTCACAAAGCACTCAGGCGATGGTGACCTGCAGCCAAGGTGGGAAATCTCTGCCGTCCAAACCGTTTGCACCACCACTGGCTGACATCTATCTCTGAGCCCAAGGTCCCAGGTGTCAGTTAAGATGGGGTTTTGGCCCCTTCATCAACCTCCAATAGATTTGAGCTCACTCAGCGTTCTGAGACAGTGCATTTATTCCCATTGCACAGAAGACGGAGTCAGGTGTGAGGCAGACTCAGATCAAGCAGTCACTGCCTGAGCCAGGCTCCTCTGGGACCAGAGGCTCAGGGATGGGGGCTGGCCCCTGCTAGGCTGGGCCACAGCAACAGCTGCACCTCTGTGGGGGAGTAAGTGGGGTGGGAAGAGGGCCACAGAGGCAGCTGGGCATGAGGGATAGAAATACCATTCCTGTTGCATAGGCTCTGTCATCCCAGTTTCACAGATGGGGATTAATGTGCCTGAAGTCACCCAGCTGGTGGATGGCACAGTGTCCTCCCCACCTCAAGGTAGTCTCAGGAGGCCCAGGTGTGTCTTGAGGATGGGGATGGAGTGGAGGCAGGTTGCTGGGCTTTCCCCACCCAGGGGCCCCAGAACCCAAGCTGCCAGTCCCACAGCCTTGCTTCTCCCCAGGTCCTGGCTTTCCTGCTCTGCTGGCCACTTAAGAGGCAGGCTAAGGAGCCGAGTCCTACAGTCCGAGGCCAGCATGGTGGGGCAAGGCCACAGGAACCTCCAGGACTCCTGAGCCAGTGGAAGGTCATGAGGTCCAGCGCCACCTGGCCACTTGCCAGGGTGTAGGGTCTGGGACAGAGAGGGAGCCTAGGCCCAGGTGAGCAAGGGGTCTATGTTCTTTCCAGCTGGCCAGTGCCCACCCTCCCAGACCTCAAGCCCCCTCCACCTACCTATTACCCACCACCTTGTGCCAGCCCTGCACTACTGCAGGCCCAGCCCAGCACAGCTCTGCTTTTAGGACCCCAGGGGTGAGGCTCCTTCTCCTCCTCATCGGCTGAGGAAAAAGCACACAACCCTTCTCTTCGCAGGGGCTGGCAAGGTGGGGCTCCAGCTCCCCACAGGTGGCCATGTCTAGCATTAGGCTAAGGCCCCTGGCTTCACTGAGGGGGAGGGAGTCCCTTGTACAGACTCCATATGTCCTGTACCCCCTCAGCTAAGACGAGGAAGTTGGCTTGGCTGCAGGTGCCAAGGCATTGGGAAATCTAAGGAAGGGCCAGGGCTCCAGACTAGGCATCTGGGCTGGCTCTTCTTTAATTAGCACCTCCGCTCATGGCCTTGACCAACTCCCCTGCCATGTGGGCACCTGACCAAGAGGCCATCTCTAGGGACCCTCAGAACCAACACTGCTATCATGGTGGGCTCACTAAGGCAGATGCCTTCTGCCCATGGGGGAGGGAAGCCTCCTATGCTGGTGGGAGCCCAGCCAGCCCAAACCTCTCAAGTCCTATTGCCTGTATTTCCCTCTAGTGTGAGGGGACAGCATGAATCACACAGGAGGAAGAGAGGACCACATCCTTAGGGGAAGGAGTAGGGGCACTGAGGGTAGCACACGTGGAGAAGGAGGTGGCAACCTTCATCCAGAGCCTGGGCCTACTTTCTGCCAAGCTCCTTGGCCCGGCAGGTGGCGGCCTCCACAGCACTCATGGTGGCTGCTCGAAGCCCACCCTGCTCCAAGGCGTGGAGACCATAGATGGTGGTGCCACCCGGTGTGCATACGTCTGTCCGCAGCTGGGCAGGGTGCTTCCCCTCTTGCAGCAGCATCTTGCCTGTACCCTGGGGAGAGTGTGAGAGGCTGATGACTCTGGAGGGAAGCAGCTCCCACACTGTGGCCCGCTTCTTCTTGGCCCTGTTGCTTCCCTGCCCACTGGAGGTAGTGCAGCCCTGGATTTTCCCAACGTTCCCCCAGGGCCACCCTCACTCACCAGCAGGGTCTGGGCAGCAATGCGGTAGGCCAGACCACTGGGCATGCCCATCTTGATAGCACCTTCAGCCAGGGCCTCAGAGAATGCGCATACCTAAAGCAGCAGTGTTGGGAAGGGTGTCAAAGCCAACACTCCCCCAACCTGCAAAAGGCTCAGAGCACTGGCCATAGATTCCAGGGCCAAGGCCTGAGCCCAGGGGTCTGCCCTCAAAGGACCAATAAGCCAATGAAGTTCCAGGGGAGAATAGAGCCCAAGAACTCATAGTCAGCCTAGAGACCAAGCATCCAAGGCCCCAGGGCTATACCCTGAGGGCAGGGGCCATCAAAGGGCCTTAGGAGGGCCTCTCTTTGCTGGGGGCTGGGGGGCGGGGAGGACAACACTCACGAAGGCCACTCCGCTACCACTGAGGCCAGTGTGGATGTCTATGTAGGCCTCAGGCACCTCCTCGCACTGCCCACAGGCCTCCAGCAGGTTCTGCAGGAGCTTAGTCTCGCTGCTTCCGGCGTGGCGACCCCGTGCCATCACTATGGCCCCCTCCTGGACCACGCAAGGCAGGTTGGCTAAGACCCGAAGCACTCGTGCGTTGGGGGGCAGCAGCTGGCCGGAGAAAGGTCAGAATCAGAGAGCCTGTGGAATTGGGTCCTGCTGGGCAAGCCCAGAGCAGGAGCCTCAAAGCAGACATACCTCAGCTAACTGTAGGCTCTGGCTCCCAAGCACAGCACCAGGAGTGAACCCTAACCCTCGCCACTTAACCCAGGTGGGCCACCTGCTACCTCTGCAGGCTGGCTGGGAGGCTGTCTGCCACCTAAGTCTGTCTAGCCAGCAGAGCTTACCCCGAGGGCCACTCACCTCCTCCAGGACACTCAGAGAGACCCCAGCAGCCACAGATACCAAGATGTGCTTAGCAGTGACCACAGGGGCCACCTCTGCCAGGACAGCTGGCAGGACATGGGGCTTGGTGGCAAAGATGATGAGTGAGCAGCTCTGTAGCACCTCCTGGTTGGAATGGGTGGTCTGGCAACCCAGAGCCTGCACAGAAGACAACAGAACCAGGACCCTCCAGGACCCCCCTAGGACCCAGGGGGCTGTGTCCACCACAGCCCTTCCTGCTGGAGTTTCCACGGGGCCTGGGGCCAAGTGTCTACACCCTCACCCCCTCAACCCTCCATGTCAGCACCTCCCCAAAGCCTCTCTCACCAGAGAATGCCCATGACCACCACTCCAGCATACATATGCACTTGTGTCCAGGCACACACACACACTTTTGCCCTGGCCCTCCATAACCCTGACTTCCCCACTGGTCTCTGACCTCTCCGTCTGCAGCCCAGCCCAGCCCAGCCAGTCTGCAAACTTCAACTAAATAAGACACACACCCCTGGCCCTGATAAGTTTCTGAGCAGGACAGGAGCCAAGAGCTACCCCAGGCTCCTGAGGGGAAGCCCCACTCTGGAAAGAGCCTGGGCCCTCTGCTCACCCGGAAGTGGCAGAGGCCCCTGTCAGTTGGTGCACTGGCCAGCACGTGGTGAGCTTCCACTTTTCCTGGAAAAGCAAAGGCAAAGGGGTTGATTAGGAGGTCTGGTAGGAGAAGGGGGAGGAGCTCTCCTGGCCTCTCAGGCTCAGCCAAACCTGGCCCATCCCTGGTCCCCTGCCAACCTGAGACTTCGAGAACAAAAAGCAGGGATGCTCCATCCACTTGGTACCAAGAAATAAGACCCATCGATTCTGCGGGGGGGGGGGGGGCAGTCACTGCCATCTGCTTGCTGCTGGGCTGGAGGCCAGAGGCTTGCCTCATCCAGTGGGGACACAGATCTCAGGGAAGGGAAGGCTGCCTGGAACAGCACCTCAGAGGCAACACCAGGCCTGGGGAGGCATGGTAGGAACAAAGGCAGCTGATTGGCCACAAAAGGCTCAAAGGGGGCCCTGCTTCCTCCAGAGGGGGCAAGTCTGTGCTGGAACATCCACATGGATGCGCATTTGATAGCAATCATCTGCTTTTGTGGAGTACAGGGGTGGGGAGACTGGGTTAGAGTTCTGTATAGTCGAACAAGAAGACAGCAGTGTATATCACAACCTGAACACAGATGGTTAATGACAAGGACATCCACACACAGGAGTACTGGGCTAAACACTTGATGTATGTGTCTCATTTAATGTGTACAGCCCTGGGAGGCAGGTGACACTGCCAAGTTTTAGAGGTAAAACTCCTGAGACTTGCAGTAACTATCTTCTGATTATTACTTTTCTGGACCTTGAAGTACGGCTAAACACACAGCTGCAAGTCACCTAGCTATCTCTACCCAGAATCCACACATAAAGGTTTTTATTAATACATACTGTGGAGCAGCACTAGGGTAGCACCAATATCCTCTGCTGTATACCAGTGGTTCTCAACCAGGGATGATTTTGCCTCCCCTCCATCCCCCCATCCAGGGGACATTTATCAATGTCTGGTGATATTTTGACTGTCACACCACAGGGGTGCTACTGCCATCTAGTGAGGAGAGGCCAGAGATGCTAAACATCCTACAACGCAAGGCAGAAATTATCTGGCCCCAACTATTCATGGAGCCAAGGTTTCTGGTGGAGTAACCCTGCTGTTCACTACCAGAAGTCACGCTGGCGCACAAATACAAAAAAAAAAAAAAAAAAAAAAAAAAAAAAAAAAAAAAAAAAGAAGAAGAAGAAGAAAAAGAAAATCAAAGGCTCAGCTTGACCAAGGCCAGGAGGCCAGAAAGTTGGCCATAGTAGATGGCACCGAACCAGCACTGTTCAAGAGATTATCATTTGAGTCACCTGCGTAACTACTTTCTAGCAGCCACATTCAAAAGGTAACAAGAGCTCCCAGCAGTGCCCGGGGGAGCTGAGTCCCAAGGCGCAGGGTCCATGCTCCACCTCTCCGCCTTTTGGTGGAGGAACCACCCGTTCGCCCCCTAACATCCCTGCTGCCCTCGTGTCCCGCGCTGGGGTTCTCAGGGAACCCAGCCAGTACCTGCACGCGTCCGATGCGCCCGCTCCCTCCCCAACAGGTGAGCTCCCCGCACGGGGCGCCTCCCAAGCCAGGCCGTGGGCCAGATGCTCGCGGAGCCCACTAGCCTGGCCCCGCGCTGCCGCACCTGCTCGAACGAGGCCCTGCGCGATGGCCAGCGCCATGCGGCCCGCACCTACGAAGCCCACTCTCAGCGGTGCTGGCCCCGCCGCCGCCATCTTGCCGCCCAACCATAGGCCGTGCCCCCTAGGCTCCACCAATAAAATCCCGCCGCCTTGACTTTTTTTGTTGATTGGCTGCCAGGATCGCAGACTCCGCCCCTGGCCTTTCCTGTTCTCATTCTACTGGCTCGCAAGGCAGTAGTTCCCACTCCCTCGCTGCTCACTGGCCCGAGAAAGCTATACCGCCCATTGGCTGAGAGAAAACGTGGGCGGGACGCGGGCGCTTGATTTTCCTAAGGGGAAGGGCTTTGGGTACCATTCTAGTCCGCAGCTAGCTTCCTGACTCGGCGCCCGGAGGTGGGGCCAACCTGGCGGGGCACCGCCGCCCGACGAGTGGTCTTTGGGCACCTGAGCCGTCCGGAGCGTCGACCCCGACTCCAGAAGGCCGGCAGGGGCTCCACGCACAGGAGGAATCGGACCGGAGGACCCTACCCAGCCGGCCACGGCCTGCTGCGCCCGGGTGTGATCCTTTGGGGGCCTCTTTCCTGAGGCCAGGGCTCCTGTGGAGGCCTGGCTCTCTTGTGTGTCTTGGGCCATCTCAGAGACTGACCCGGACCGTGGCGGTGACTGTGGGGAGCCTGTAATTTTTAATCGACAGGAGAAAAATATACCGTGAAGATCAAAGATTGCAGGTTTTATACTCTTCACTCGGTCTGCATTTTAAATCTGCTTTGTTATTTTCTTCTAAACCTTTTGGCATTTTTTTAAGTTCTTCAACAATGAAATACCTTCCTCGTTCGTTCAGCCGGTATTTGTTGCGCACCCGCAGTGTCTGGGCCCTGCTCTGGGTTGGAGAAGGACACACAGCAGTGCGGGGCGAACCCGTGCCCCAATCCTGCGATCTGCTCGTCTGCGGTGGAGGCGGACGGGATATCCAGAGAGTGATCACGCTTCTGAAGTGGATGACGGGGAAGGGCAGGGCGGGAGGCGGGCGAAGGCGTCCAGGAGACTGCTTCAGCCACTGTAGCCAGGCAACGTGGGTGGTGGATGTGGGGGCCAACAGCTCACCACTGCAGGTTGCTCAACTCTGCTTTCCTTTCCCTGTGTAGAATGGGGAGGGCGTGAGTTTCTAGCTCACGTGGTTGTGACAACTGATAGACTTAAGGGAAAACACATGGAGCGTCAGACGCCAGCTGTTTAGTATAATAGTATGCTCTCAGGCAGGGACCAGCCAGGTAAGGGCCCTGGGCAGAGAACCAGCCTGTACTTTTTAGAGGTGAGAAGGTTGTGTAGGGGTTGGGAGTGGAGGAGGTGATGTGGAAAGGCCAGCTGGCCATGTCAGGAGGGTGAAGGACAGAGACACCATGGATTGTCCTGCAAGGAGCCTATAGCCCTGAAGAGAGGCTGCTGGATGGGGCTGTGGCTGTCCCATGAGATGCAGACAGGTTGATAGTGGAGGTGGTGAAAAGCAGTTGGATTTGGGAAATGTTTCTGGAGGTTGAGGGGTAAAATGTGCTGGAAAGCTGAGGAAAAGTGAAAAATCAGGGACACTGTGGTTTCCCTGACACACAGGAAGAGGATGACAGGGAGGAATGGGATTGGTTTTCTAGGGGTAAGGACGGGGTAGGATGGGGGCATGGCTGCAGGGCAGGCTCAGGGCTGCCTTTCTGGCTGTGGGCAGTGTGTTTCAGCTGCAGGGTCTGATGCTCTGCACCAGTGTTCAGTGTTGTAGCTATTTCTCCTGCAGCTCTCGTTGCACATAGACTCCCTGGAGTGGGTTCAGGGTCCTTGCTCTCCCAGGGCCCCAGGGACAGTGACAGCTAAGGACCAATGCTGTGACAAGGGCCTGTAACATCTAGTTTCTTGTTATCACAAATAAAGACAAAACCCAGTTGCCTTGGGTGGACTGAAAAAATGTAAATGAGAGTTGCTGGCTGACTGCCCAGAGCCATCACTGGTAGGAGAAAGCCCAGGGCCCCAATGCCCAGGTGGCCCCTGGCTGTGGGCAGCACAGCTTCCCTGTACCATGTCAAGCTAGGCCTCTGAGCATTGGCTGGGAGCCTTCAGCAACACCCCTAACCCCTATGTGTGTCCTGCCAGCTGTGTCCTACATGTCTCTCTACTCATGAGGTGGTGGTGGGCACCCTTCTCTCCCTCCCTCACCTGGCTGATCCAAGCTCCAACTCAGATGTCACCCCCTCCAGGAGGCTTTCCCTGAACCCCTACACATGCAGAGAGTTTATCTACAAAGGGATGATGCCAGGGGAACACACTGTAAAGGAACTAATCCACATCCTGGGGCTACAAATCCTTTGGGGTTGGTGGGGATGGGAAGCAGGGCTCCCAGGAGTTTCCAAACAGGCAATCATGACAGGTCAGGATGGGTGCTCAGTGAGGGGCTGAGGGATGCATCCAGGGAAGGCTTTTCAGAGTAGGTGCCACCTCAGCTGAGACCCAAAAGGTGGGAAGGCCTTGACCCAAGGGACAGCCTCCAGGGGGGTCTGAAGGATGAACACCTTGGCTTGCCAGAGAGACACAAATACAGTGAGAAGTCAGCTGGGTGCAGGGAGATGTGGCAGATACAGGTCTGGACTCGGTGCCTGACACAGGGAAGACCTACCAATATTGCCCAAGTAAACACAGGAAGAAATGAACATGGCAGGCACAATCTGCAGACAGAAGAAACTACCTTCTGGGTGAAGATGGCAAAGGGCACCTGGGAGGGAAGGTATCCTGAAAAGAAGTGAGCCCAAGATTGAGCCCGGAGCTAGGGTAAGTGCCTGGCTCCTGGGGGCTCCCTCTGCTAGGTGAGGAGGAAGGCAATGAGTTAGCAGGGGCTCTGCAGCCAGGCGCTCCTTGTCCCTACCTCACTGCTACCAGGACAGGCAGGGGCACTTGTCAGTCAATCTTTCCAGACTTTGCTGTCTCCCTGCTGAGAATGAGGTGGCCAATGATGTCACTTCCCTGGTGGCTGGAGCTGGCCTGCCCAGCAGACCCTCCTGTATACCACCTGTCACTCTCCACAGGACAAGGTCAGGCTGAGCTCACACCCAGGCTACTGCCTGAGAGGTGGGGAGATGAGGGCCTGGGGTTGGCCCAGCTCTGCTGGAGCCCCAGGGGAGCCTGAGCCACATACCCCTCAGCTTCCCCTTGGACCCATCTGCTTGCCCCACTCGGCCTGTCCAAACCCAGGCCAGCCTCTTTCCCTGAAGTCCTTGGGGCCAAGGCAGGGAGGCTGGAGGAGCTCAGGTTACCCAGGCCTGCAGCAGAGAGACTGGAACTGCAGGAGGGACACCCTGCCCCACGTCTTCATCCAGCTGACAACCTATGCCCATTTCACCGTGGCTGGCTGCTACTTCCTGACCACACATACCTTCCCACTCTTCAGCCTTTGCTGATACCCAACCCAGGCACAGTTGGCCACCCTGGCCCAGCAACTTGGCTGGACAGCAAGCAGGGGGACAGTGGGCCCTGGGGCTGGCCAGGCTGAGGGGTAATGCCTGGGCACAGGGCACAGCTTGGCATAGAGCTGCCGAGGCCAGGCTGTGAAAATGTACTTTATTAGCTCCACGGGAGTAGGAAAGCAGGATCAGAGTGGACACACTCAGGACCAGGAACCAGTGTGGGGAGCAAAGTACTGGGCCTGCTCAGGCCTTGATTTCCCTGAGACAGATAGGAATGAGCCCCGCTGGACAGCTGCCTAGAGCCACAGGGCGAGGTGGAACATGGGCCCAGGTTGCCAGGCAGTGCCCTCAGCTCCTGGCAGGGTCTGGGGTGGTGGCCACTGGGCTCTCTCCAGCGAAGCACCCACAGGTGCCTGCTCCCATCACCTGGCTTCACTTCCGGGCCTGCTCGTAGTTGTCAGTGAACCAAGCACAGGTCTCCTTCACGGCTGCGGAAGAGGGCCAGGGCCACAATGACCCCCGTGGGAGGGTGGGGGCCAGGGACACAGGGAAGTCACCCCCTCTGAGCTTCTGTGTTGTGCCTCCCACGCAGTACAGGCTCTGATAGGCCTGAAGACCAAATCCATGGGGTGTCCCCATCCCTACTCCACCCCTCTACAGGGAACACTGGTAGGAGAGGACAGTGGGGGACCAAAGCCAAGGAGAGGCCAGGAGAACTGGGTGCGGCTGCGGGAGGGCAGGAGCTCACCCTGCTTGAAGGGCGTGAACTGGAAGTCAGGCAGGTAGGCCCGCAGCTTTCTGTTACTGGCTGTCTTCTTAAACTGCCCGTCCGACTTGGTTGTATCAAACTAGGCACCTTGGTCAAGGCCACAGCACAAGAAGCACCTGCACCCCCAGCCCCACCAGCCCTGAACCTGTCTTTCCCCTTGGGGGCCTGGGGGAGAGGACAGCAGACCCGTCTCCTGCTGCCAAGTGTTCCCACACAGGAGGCCCCCCCACAGAGGGGTCTCCTGAGCACACCCATTGTGCCCTCACCTAAACCCCCATCACTGGAACCAGAGGATACGGTGACTTCCCCATGGAAGTCCATGGCCTCCACCACAGCCTCGGCTGCCTCCTGGATGGAGACCTCATCCTCTTCACCCACTGTGGGAAGTAAAGGGCCCACAGCCAGGTCAGGCTTCCTCCAGGGCTGCCCCCCAATCCCCCATGAGTGTTCCTGCTGCCACCCCTCAGCCAGCCTCCCAGGACAAACATAGGTCCTTCCCACAGTGAAGGAAGGGGAGATGGGGACTGCCCACCTGACAGGATGATGGGGTCCACCTCACTGTATTCCCGCAGGACCCAGATAAAGAGCTGGGCCAGGTCCTGGAGGTCAGACAGCCAGGGTCAGAGAGCACAAGGTGTGGCCAAATGGGGCCACAGGTCACCTCTCCCAGATGCCCCTGCTGAGGATTCCACACTGCTTTCCCTGCTCAGGGGGACACAACCAGGGCTCAGCCTGCAGATGGGGTCTCTCCTTTGGGCAGTTCTTCTGCAGAGCTGCACTCACTGCCTCCTGTCGGGCAGGAACCCACAGGGATACTGCGGGAACTAGAGATCACTCCTCTAGGGGCTCTGTCCAGACCCTCACCTGTTCCTTGGCTCCCGCTGCCACCACCTCCCCCAAAGCCCAGCAAGGACAGGCCCAGGGCTCACAGGGCAGACTTTCTGGGGGAAGAGCTGTGCCCTCCTATACAAACCAGCGAGTATATGAACTGCCTCCTCGGCTTGCCTGTGCCCCACACCGTCAGGGCTGAGCCATTGCCTGCAGGTGCAGGGGAAGGGCAGGTGTCAGAAGGTACTGGGCCACCTCCTCCCCAGCTGAGCCCCAGGGATCCCATTAGTGGGTGACTTGGGCTGGGTGTGTGCTAGGTGGCTGGGCACTCACTCTTGGCCAGGTGCACCTTGTGGATGAGGCCGGGCAGCACGTGGCCATCCTCGATGTTGAAGTTATCATGAGGCCCAAAGACGTTGGTGGGGATGACGGCAGTGAAGGTGCAGCCATGCTGCTGGAAGTAGGCCCTGCAGAACCACAGTGTCTCCTCCCTCATCCTGGGACCACCAACCACACTCCTCCCCACCACTGGCCTCTTGGAGATAGAAAAACAAGAGGTGGCAAGACCCCACGTGGGTTCCCAGCCAGCCCGCCCACCCTATGGAGCTTGAGCCCTCTTCCCCACTCCAGGGTAGGCCTTGGCAAGATGTGTGAGGAGGACCTGTTCTGCACGTCGATCATCCTCTTGGCGTAGGAGTACCCAAAATTGCTGTTGTGGGGTGGTCCATTGTGGATCTGGGGAACAGGAGAGACACCGAGGCTGCTGCTTCCTAGCCCTGCCCACACAGCTGCCCGCCCCCGCCCCTGTGTCCAGGCCCCACCCCCTCACCATAGTCTCATCGATAGGGTAGGTGGTCTTGTCAGGGAAGATACAGGTGGACAGACAGGACACCACCTTGCGAGCGCCCACCTCAAAGGCCGAGTGCAGGACGTTGTCGTTGATGTGCACATTCTTTCTCTGCAAGGGTGCAGAGGGGAGATCAGGCCCTCTAGGTAGAACTCTAGCCCTAACCTGCTCCTCCAGGTAAGGAACCATAAGTGGGGACACATCCTGGTCCCTCAACAGGCAGTCCCCTAGCCTGCTTGTCCTAACTGCTGCTGGGACAAGGTAGAGCCTCCCAGTGCTGCCTCCTCCTTCCAAGGCTGTAAGGAGGGTCCAGTCCTGTCTTCCTGGGAGTGGAGGAGAGAACCACACACCCCAGATTAGGGCAGGGCCCACTCCAGGGCTGCCCAGGGCACAACATGTAATGAAGCACAGGGAAAGGGCCCAGGGGATTGGGGCTCCTATATGGTGAGAAGGGCCCTCCGCTGCCCCATCCTACAGAAGCTCACACCTGGCTTAACTGCCCAGTAGCAGTGAAGCCATGGCCTGCCCTATCCAAGCACAAGGCCTACTGCCCCTTCTATAATTGGACATGAGATAGCCAGGGCATTTGGACTTAGAAGAGGGTAGAGGTGGTGGCCAGGGAGTCTGATGGGAAGGCTGAGACAGAAAGAGGGAGAGCTCTGGGGGGCCAGGGCCCCTGGACAGAATCTGGTCTGATCCTCTGCTGACCCCAGGGCCTGGTACAGGCCAGCCAGGGCAAGGTGTTGCCCCTCAGAAACAGGCGGGGCCAACCCTCAGGGGCATAGCTAGCAAGGGCAAGACTCTGACCCCATGCTGCCCCAGGGCACACATGAACCCTGTTCATACCCCTAAACCCCAGTCTTTGGGGAACCTGGCTCATGGGAGCTGGACTAGCACAGTCCTGGGAATGGAGACTCTGGAGGTGCAGGAACCCACCCAAATTGTACTGCAAATGCTGGCTTCTTTCACCTCCCAACACTGTGAG